ACAAACAAACAAATCGCCCAAGTTATGTGGGCAACCAAATATGACATGGCTGATAAAAGTCCAGGATATTGCCCAAAGCTATATGGGCTTCAGAATGTAAGACAAAGAGGATCATTAAGATCTCTTGGACAAGTAAGTTTCAATATGCTTGTACATATCTTGAATCGACAGAAAGATGCTCGCACACGCACTCGGATGTTTTTCCACGGCGCAGCCGCGAAAGTGGGGAAAGTACTAAGTTCGAGTGTCGACTCGAAGAACGTCGACACTAAGAGTGCCGAAGGCAACAGCACAACTGATGTGCAGCCTCTTTATTCCCCCTTTCACTAGGCAGCACCATCAAGCAAAAGATACCATCCGAGTTGCGTCACACGTCTTTCAAGAATTCAAAGCCGATCGGGCATTTGGGACGATCACGGACCCAGTCGCCCAAGTATTTCATTTCCGCCCACGTCTCCTTCTCGACGGACATGTCGTAGCCCAGCAGCTGCATCGCTGTGTGGACGATGTTGTCACTCCCCTCGCCCAACATGGCAGGCATCGTGGAAGGGAAATCATCGTAGTAGCATGCAGAAATCAGACAGAGTTCCCACATGACACGCTGGAGCAGCAGCGATACACGGTTGAAGTGTAGCACCGAAGCCGTCGATCCAAAAGGTAACGTGTTACACACGAACGCTTGGACCTGAAGCGTTGAAGGATTCTTCAAGATGATGATGGCCTTCCTGCGCTCGTCCGGGTGGAGAGGCATCTGCTTGTAGGCTGCCTTCAGATCATAAGTTTTGCTCAACGGCCTGACACGATCCGCGTCATGCCAAGCCGAATGAAGCTTGCCCTTCAAGACCGAGCCATCTTGAAGCGTGAAGGAGACATCCCCCCGCACAACAGCACACTTGAAGATCTGAACACAAGCCCAAGTGATTTCATCAAGTGCTTTAAGACTTATGCGCTCGAAGCACCCGAAGCATGCATTAATCCCACACTCGGAAAAGTCATCGATCGGCCTCCACTTGCCTTGCCACACGGCAAAGCGCCTGCATGGCGACCAGCCCTCTGGGAACATTGCATCAAGCTGGGCTTTGCTCAAAGGGCCCTGAAGCCAACCCTTGCCCTGCGAATCGGCTTCGTCCATGGTGATGTCCCACAACGCTTGAGAGTAATCCTGCACCTTATGGCTGGCGACTTTTTCCCACAAGGAATCACGAAGCACTGAAGCACCATCCCAAAAGTCCTGCTCTGTGCTTTATGCCGGTTTTTCGTCGGGATGGAAAACATCGGTACACTCGAGATAACCAGTGAGTTTAAAGCCTTGAGTGATGTCACGGTGCAAGTTCTTGTCGGGCCACCCGAGAGAAGCAGCTATCCTCTGGAGCAAGAGCGTCCGCTTGCCACTAAGCACCTGCCTCACGGATGGCGCCATGCTGGCTCTGAGCTTAGATTCTGCAGGTTCAAGTTCGCGGGCCCAGCTTCTCCAGAGCTTTAGCAAGTTCAAGCGGGTCTTGATGACAGCAACCGGGCCCTCAACAAGCACTTTGAACAAAGCTCTTACCATGCCATCGGGCAGAGCACGAGCCACATCGAAGGGATGCTTCAGCATGGAAGCTTCGCGAAGAAAGGACTCGGGCGAACGGTATACGCCGAACACAAAGAAGCGGCTGATATGCTCACCGTCGTCCTCAGCGCCTTGCAGAAAGCTGGCTCTGGTGCCTGTCCTCCCCTTTCGACTGATACCCGGAGCAGCTTGGAGCCGAGGGGCACGCGATTCCAAGAAGCAGTCAAGCAATGTTTGCCGTCTAGGGGAGGCGAGGTAGATGCTTGGACCGACATGGTATGCGAGAACTCTGAGATGATGGGGGCAAACTTGCGCCCGCGCGGCTGCTTTTATGCAGCAGCTCTGGCTTCTGCGAGAGAGGTAGTGTGACTGGCAAGAGGAAGGCATTCTTGCGCAGCAGCAAAAATGTCAATGCAGGCAACAAGGCGCTCGCACAAAAGCTTGGGGTAAGCTGCCTCGGCGGATGTGGCGAAGCCATCGGGAGTACGGCCCCAAGACGCATGTGATTTGCAGCCAGGGCACGGACCACTCAGGGTCCCAACACACTCAACGTTGGTAAGCAAGGCAGTTGCTTTATTTCTAGAGGAACCATGGCGGCATGCGTCGAAGCTGACGAAGCTGCACTGCTGCTGAAGATCCTGAAAGGAAGGCAGTTGCCACATCCAAGAGTGCAAGGGGTTCTCGACAGTGAACCCGGTCTCCGGGATCGTTCGTAGCAGCCACTTGCAGAAGTCAGCGGTGTTGTCGTAGATAAGGTTGGCACTGTCTACACGTGCCTGATCTTTTTCAGTCAACCCCGGTAGGCCTCGAGGATGAAGTAGAGAACGAAGGGCTCTGGGACCGGGCCCGATACTGCGGGCGCGGCTAGCTGTACCACATGGAGGTGCAATGTGCACCCACACAACTCTGCGACATTCAAAGACCCGACGAATGAAGGACCAGGTGCTGTCCTTTCGAAGATCAAGTTGCAGAGTGTGCGCGAAGCTGCGATGTTTGTTGCCACCCCAGTCCACAGGAAGAATCCCGTAGCCTCGCTCACGAGCTGTGGCAGACAAGAGCGCTGAGCCGGCACACAACTCAATCACGATTGGCCTAAGGTTGGAACTCGTCGGAGGGCCCGCGCTAGCCGCATCAAGCGGGGCAGGCACTGCAGCACTTTCAAGCGAGGTTTTACAAGACTTATGCGGGGGGCTGGCAGGTGCAGGGGGACAGAGGTTCTTAAGTGATCGGTTATCCAGTGGGAAACCCAGTGAAGTCAAGAAGCGGCGATCGGCACCGGCCAATTTTTCACTAAACCGAACACTAAACCCCACCACTACGGTCCTGCGACCTGACCAGGGCAACACGCAATGAGCGAGTTCGTTTGCAGCAAACTTGATGGCCCCATTGCGCCACTGCACAGGACCTCCCTGGACTGCAGCCTTGCCCAGCGTCTTGTGCTCGGTGCCCTCGCCTTCCACCCAGAGCAGGCCATCCTGAAAGGAAGATATTGGCACAACGACATTGAGCACTGAAGAATTTTTTATTTCCTGCTGATTCCTGTCGCCCTAAACATATGAGGGCATTCCGAAATAGAATATAAAAGATCGGATATATTCGCTATGAAAAAGATATATTTGGAAGTAAAAATGCGCAGGCACTCGGAAACCCTCCTTCTTTTGCGATGGGGAATTGCAAAGGTCTGGCTTGCAAGAGAAGAAGCACCGATGGTCCCAGAGCCATGCTCGAACACATCGGGCCCTCCACACCCCACGCATGAAGGGCCCTATGGGTTCAAGCTCGAAAGTCTGACACGACAACTGCACTCAAGGCCTGAGCAGTCCTTTCTCGAAGGAGCATCTGAAGGATTGCTCTCCGAAGGGACCCATTCGAACCAGAAGTTGATGTCGTGAGATTCCTCGAAATCAAGAAGACGCTGCAAGGAAATGGACGCAATGCCCTCAGCCTCAGCCCTGCCGCTGATGAGACACGACAGAGCAGCCTGATTGTCAGTAAAAAGCACAACGTCCAGATGCTTGCGCTCGCTCAAGAGATCGATTGCACCCTGAACTGCAGCAAAAACTTCAAGTTCAAAGATCAGGCCTTCCTTGTCTGCAACCTGGAATGGCTGCAGTCCTTCAGGCTCAAGCCATTCTGAGAACCAGCTGAGAGTCCGTCCACTTGAATCGTAAAGGATGCCTCCAAGGCCGGAGCCGAGCGACTCGTACGATGC